CTCCAGCTCTTCTATGAAGAAGACCTCCAGCTCTTCTATGAAGAAGACCTCCAGCTCTTATATGAAGTAGACCTCCAGCTCTTCTATGAAGAAGACGACCTCCAGCTCTTCTATGAAGAAGACTTCCAGCTCTTCTATGAAGAAGACCTCCAGCTCTTCTATGAAGAAGACCTCCAGCTCTTATATGAAGTAGACCTCCAGCTCTTCTATGAAGAAGACGACCTCCAGCTCTTCTATGAATAAGACCTCCAGCTCTTCTATGAAGAAGACTTCCAGCCCTTCTATGAAGAAGACCTCCAGCTCTTCTATGAAGAAGACCTCCAGCTCTTCTATGAAGAAGACCTCCAGCTCTTCTATGAAGTAGACCTCCAGCTCTTCTATTAAGAAGAAGACCTCCAGCTCTTCTATTAAGAAGAAGACCTCCAGCTCTTCTATGAAGAAGAAGACCTCCAGCTCTTCTATGAAGAAGAAGACCTCCAATTCTTCTATGAAGAAGAAGACCTCCAGCTCTTCTATGAAGAAGAAGACCTCCAGCTCTTCTGTGAAGATCTCTAGCTGTTCAAAGACCTCCAGATTTTCTATGAAGAAGATCTGCAGCTCTTCTATGAAGAAGATCTGCAACTCTTCTATGAAGAAGATCTGCAGCTCTTCTATGAAGATGACCTGCAGCTGTTCTATGGAGAAGAATTCTAGCTCTTCGGAGATAAATATCTCTAGGTCTTCGAAGATGAAACCTCTAGCTCTTCCATGAATAAGATTTTAAAAAAGGTATGGATGTACATTTAAGTATAACCTCCATATTTTCAAAGTTCAATATTAAGAAAATTTTGAAGATGTTTTCCAGACTATTTTGCTCTAGTTTCAAATTGTGGATTCTCATGGGATATTACAATATATTTTTACAAAAAAAAAGAAGAAAAAAAATAATAAATAATAATATTGATCCCGCTAAGATACATTCCGATTTTCGACATTTTCAATGTTTTTATACGTTTTCTAGCCAATTTGGCCTGTAATATAAAATTCTCAGTTTTCATGGGGTAATAGAATTTCTCCCTACGAAAAATAATTAACTTCGATCTAGCTAAAGGTACATTACGATTTTACGTATTCAAAAACATCATTTCCGAAACTATATTTAAAAAAATCTAATCACTCTAAACGTATAGAGACAGACCGTTAAAAGTTTGCATAAAATAGTATGCAGGCAGGTGAAGTTTGAAATTAGTATATCGGCCCACTTTTGGATGTAGCTTCAATATTGGGTAACAAATTTCCATACCAAAAATAGGCCCAGTTTTTAGGTTAGCCAGTATTTTGCAGATATTTTAGTCTGAGCTTCTCAGAGGCTAAAATATAAATCCTAAGAGCATCACCTTCATATATACGAAGTTCTGTAAAGTATCATATGGGATTGGGATTTATATCTGTGGTTAATTGTTGTGGTTGAACATTTCCGATTTAGTGAACGCAGTAGCACAATATTAATATTGGGCCCAATGTATTCGGCAGAGCTCTTGCATGGTATTCAAATCGTATTCTATATCACATACACATATGAATATTTGTGTACATATATACATACATAATACACATAGTAAATATATTATGTAATTCTTTTGTTAATAAATCCAACCGAATGGCAAATATCATTAAATTGTTCAATCTACTGTGACAGAAGAAGGATACGAAGGATATTTGCCTTAACCACATATTAAAAGCTATATATGTACATACATATGTTGCATTTAGGTGCAATTTAGGTACATTTATACATACGTATATTATACATAATATGTATGTATGTATCTATGTATTTCAATGGAAAACCCAAGAAACTAAACTTGGTAAAGGAAAGTGAATTTTTGTTCGTAGTTTGATAAAAAAGAAAAATCAATTCTGTGGCGGAAGGTTGGCTAGTTCATCCGCATGCACAAGGAATACAAGTGTACACACACGCACACACACACGTTGCAATTTGGTGTCACAGTGATGACAAAGATATATATCCATAGAATATCAAAAAAAAAAAACTGATGCTGGTCGGTCTGAGAAAGAAAAACAAAAAAAAATCTAATTGAACTTTGTTGCTGTTGTTTCTGTGACAGCACAACGACATAAGCTCTGGAATCCTTATACCAAGTGTGTGTTGCTGTTGATTTCCTAGCAAAAAGAAGCAATGTGGAAATATGAAGAAGGTAATGTGGCTGATGATGATTTCCAAACCAACAAAAAGACCACCTCCCCAGACAGCATCCACCATACAACCAACCAACCAACCCAGCTACCCACCTACCTACCACTATTAACAGTTCAAGGTCCAGGTTCGCCAGCCAGAAAAGTGTCCAAGTTTTTCTTTTGTTTTTGTTGTTGTTGTTATTTTTTGAAGCATTAGTCAGAAGTGCACGTGTCATCCATCTCTGGGTGGGTGTGTTATTTGCTTTTTTTCTCAATAAATTATGCAATTTCTTGAAAAATGGAAAAATTTCCATTTCTTTGGAATTCTATTAAGAAAGTTATGAAGATTTTTCAGATGGAAAATAGTAGGGGGAATTTTGTCTAATATGGAAAAAAATACAACAAATTATTATATGGATAATATTTTCCGTATAGGAAAGAAATATTATCCGAATATTTTTCGTATAGGAAAAAAATATTTATATTTATCCTAAATGGGAAAAATATCCGGATAAAATATTTCCTATATGGAAAAAAACTATCCGGATAACATTTCATCTAATACTTAAAAAATATTACACAAATAATATTTCATATCCGGATAATATATTTCACCCTTACGGAAAGATTATTATCCGAATAATATTTTTTCCTATACGGAAAAATATTATCCGGATAAAATTTTACCTATGCTGACAATAATATTCGGATAATAGGTTTTTTTTCATATATGAGAGATTTTTCCCGTATAAATAATTATCCGGATAATATGTTTTCAAATGGTAAAAATATCCGGATAAAGAATTTCTATCCGCATAATATATTTTTTACTTGCACGGAAAAAATATTATCCGGATTATTGTTTTTTATACGAAAGATTATTATCCGAATAATATTTTTACCGATACGGAAAAATTATTATCTGGATAATATTTTTTCCAATTATCCGAATATTTTTTCCTATAAGCGCAAAAAAAATTATTATCAGGATAACATTTGTCCTATATATAAGAAAAAATTATTATCCGGATGATACTTTTTTCCAATTATCTGAATAATAACTGGTCCTATACGAAAAACAATATCCGGTTAACATTTGTTCTATATGAGAAAAATTATCCTATACGAACTATTATTCGGATATTTTTTTCCAATTATCCGAATAATAATTGGGTTTTCTATAGGTTATTATACCCTACACAAAAATGTGGTCAGGGTATAACATTTGTCATAAATATTGTAACGCGGATAACATTTATTCCAATACATAAAAAATATTACACGGATAACAATATTTCCTATACGAAAAAAATATTATCCGGGTTATTGTTTCTTTCATTTATGAGAGATTGTTGTCCGGAATGAAGATATTGTTTTTGGTAAAAAATATTTATGAAATGGACCAAAAACTGAAACTTTGTCTGATTTTCTGGTCGCTCCAGAGGCCGCACTTATGGCCCAAACTTACATGGAGAAGGGGATAGAGCCAAAGAATAAGCATGCCTTTTTGATAAAGATCGGTCAATATTTATCGGGTCAAATGGACCCTGACTTTTGTGTGAAAAATTACGAAATTTGTATTCTATAGCGTATATACTTAATCCTGAAGGACATAGAAGTTATTTATATGCAAGAGGACAAATTTTATACCAATCATATTGTCGATAATCATTTTTACTGAAATATTTACAGGTGCTTATTTTTTACTATTTAGTAAAATTTTACACTAGAGGGCGGATAAATTTTTTTGAGTATCCATATATTCAATGACAACGTTTTTTCCTGAAGTGGAAAATTTAATTTTTTGTGTTTTTTTTTTCGAGTCGATCTATAAGCCATAATTGAAAGGTGAACATCACAACACAATTATTAATCGGTTAATAATTCCTATTATCTATACGGAAAACATATTATCCGGATTATATTTTTCCTATACGGAAAATATATTATCCGGATAATATTTTCCCTATGTGGAAAACATATTATCCGGATAATAATTTTCCTATACGGAAAACATATGAGCAAAATTTTACCATTGCGGAAATATTATTATACGGATAATAGTTTTTTTCCCATTCGGAAAAATTATTTTTCGGATACCATTTGTCCTATATGGGAATAATATGTTCCCATAAGGAAAATATTATCCGGATAACATTTTTTTCATATTATCCGTATAATGAAATTTTTCCTATATTTTTTCGTATACGGAATTTTTTTAACATTTTTTTTTTCATATTATCCGTATAATGAAATTTTTCCTATATTTTTTCGTATAACAATTTTCCTAAAATATGCTGTGGTAAAATTCCCTATTGTGACCCTAATTGTCTGCTTAATAATTCGCACACACACACGCATGCACATACATACACACATCATTTGCGTTTAACAAACAATTAATATTAAATAATTCTTGTCTGTCTGAATTAGAATACAAAAAAAAAACGAAACGAAATAGAATTTTGAACCTCATATGAATGGAGGGATTTTTACATAAGTTCAGGAAGGTCTTGATGTGCAGGGAACTATTGCAAAATTTATTTAATTATGTGGACTTTGAAGAATCTATTGCAAGGTGTTTTATTTATTTCAAATAATTTAAATATTTTGTTGTTTTTTTTTTTGCTATGGAGGTCATTTCATTGGAATGGAATTCAAATTCAAGCTTATAGCTTTGGTATTTATTTGATTGACATAATATTGGAAACGGAAATTTATGCGATTTAATTTTCTAATCTGAAAACGTAAACCATTGAATAAAATATCTGAAAATTACATTTTTGTTCAGATTTTTTTATTCCTATTTTTTTTTAACTTACCTGGGACGATTCTGCATAAAATGTTGCCCACCAAATATGACCAGCATATAGATGCCACAATAGTAGAAGACCCATGTCCAGTTCTCCACCATCCATTTGCGCGTGCGCTGATGAATGAAATCATTTTCGAAATCGAAAATATACGAATAATTGGGTGTCACACTTATGTCCATGTTAATCATGTTTGTGCAGTGATTCGTTTCGGTTTTTTGTGTTTTGCTTTGAAAACTTAAAACTAATTAACTGAATTCAAATTGAAATAGTCTTTTTCAGCGATGTGTGTTTAGCAAGGTTTCTTCTTCTTCTTCAAGCCTTATTTTTGTAATCTTTTGTGCGATTTACACAAACAATTTCAAGGCTAAGATAAAACAAATTTTGGGCGAGGAGGGGAAGAACACTGGAATGAAGAAAAAATTTAAATATTAATAAAAAAATAAGTATGTATAAATATTTTTAAATACATATATTTTTCTGTTAATTAATAAGTTTGTTGAATGAAAAAGTGCAAATCCTGATTCAATTAAGGTTTCATATTGGGTTGAAAATTTATTTATTTATTTATTTTAATTCAGGTTCTGATAGCCATCGACATTATACAACAGTCTTATTATACCCTACACAACTGTGTTGTCAGGGTGTTATAGCTTTGTGCAGCCCCAAAAGTTTGTAACGCCGCGAAATATCGGTCATAGATCCACCTTTAAGTATACCGATCGTCATATCTCGACTAGCTGAGTCGATCTAGACATGTGTGTTCGTCCGTCTGTCCATTATAATTTGTAAACATGATAAAGGCCACAGTTATTGACCAATCTCCATGAAATCCATGTAGGATGGGTTCTGGCCAATGAAGACCCCTATTGTTTTTGGTAAAGATCGGATTATATTTAGGGGATGAAATGGACCAAATACTTAATTTGTGTCTGTTTTTCTGATCGCTGCAGAGGCTGCAGTTATGGTCCGAACGTCGTGGATTTTACAAAGAGATGGGGATCGGGCCAAAGAATAAGCATGCCTGTTTTGATAAAGATAGGTCAATATTTAGCGGGTCAAATGGACCCAGACTTTTAAGTGATGTATGTACTCTGATGTGGGAATTATACGCAATTAGGTAAAGGTGACTATGTGCTTAGTATTGCTATTACTCCATTAGAGGACAGAAATTGTACATGAAGTTCCGATGATGGTCAAGGACGACGCCTATAGTTTTCGGTGATATTGAGATTTCATTCAGGGGGTACAATGAACCGAAAACTTTAATTTTGGCAGATTTTCTAGTCGCTCTAGAGGCAATTATTATATGCAGAACATCACATATTTTACATGGTGAAGGGAATCTGACCAAATATTTAGAGCGTCTGGTTAGATGATGACCGGTCAATATTCCAAGGGTCAAATCAACCAAAACCTAAAGTGATCAATTTTTTATTTTATGGCGTAAAAATTCACTTAAAAAAAAAAAATCGAAAATATGCTAGGGGTGCAAATATCATGAAATATTGCCCAGGCTCAGAATATAGAACCGCAGGAAGTTAGCTTTTCATGGTAGTTGTGTAGGGTATAATATGGTCGGCCCGTCCGACTATACTGCTCCGCTCACTGTTTTTTTTTTAATTTCACGGCTTGAGTTTTGGTAAAAAAAAAATATTTCTCTAATTAAGTTTATAATCGACTTCTAAAAATGTTCCTCTAAAGAATTTAATATTTGATTGTCTTAAAAAAATCGAATTTTTGTTGGTCTTGGAAAAAACAATTAAAACCAGTAAGGAAAGTAGTAAAGTTGGACGGGGCCGACTATATGATTCTTCACCACTTTGGGTATATTCAACAAATGAATCCTAACAGACGTCGCATTTTTGAAGGACCAGTGGATCCATAAACATGTCATTCTGCAACCTATACTAAATTTTTCATTTGGTCAGATATAGAGTTGCTTCTTACAATGGGATAAAATTATGAAAATCAATTTAAAGCAAATATCAATTGGACACCCTACGTTGTGCAAAATTTTGTGTCAATCGACCTAATGTTGGTCTTTGGTGTACCATCTAACAAAATCGGACGAAACTATATATGGGAGCTATATCTAAATTGTAACAGATGCCTACAAAACTTGACAAACGTTAGACAATATTAATTTCAGTACGTTGTGCAAAATTTTGTGCCAATCGGTTCCACCTGGGGAATTCGGTGCAGAATTTATCGCCCATGTGACATGTTCCGAGAGTTTTTGAATTCCCATACTTTTTTAAATCCCCATATTGTGCAAAATGGTGTGCTCAATTTCGAGCGAAAGTGCGGCTCGAAAGCATAGCTGTGTTCAATATGTTACGAAATGTGTTCAATAAAAAAAACATATGTTTCATTGGAATTTGCAATTTGTTTAACAACAAAATTAAGAAAAAATATGGCTGCTGGCTTATTAATTGTCCTGGTTTCTACCAGAAAAAGTCTAATGATACTGGAACGTGTTAAAATAAGCATTTATGGATATTTTGAGAGAAGTTGGTCCTTTCATACACAAGGGTACCATTCCCGAAAGCCTGCAGTTAGCAGCTACCTTAAGATTTCTGGCTGTTGGTGGGTTTCAGAGGGTGGTGGCAAATGATTTAAACATAGGTGTTGATTGCAGAACAATGTGTAAAATATTGTGGAGAGTAATGAAAATCCTGGAAGACAAAAGTGTGTGCAAGCTGACAAAGTGTGTGCAAGCTGTGGACAGCTGCAGACCAAGATCCAGCCATGGTGCTTTTATTTGGCATATGAGTGCAGGTAGGCAGAAGAGGAAATGGTATGCAAAATAGTTGGCTTCTAGGAGACAGTGGTTACGCTTTAGAAACATTTTTGATGACGCCCTATAAACAAGTGGAGCATGGATCTTGTCAACATCGATATAATAAAGGGCACACATCTGCAAGAAACATTATTAAAAGAACTATCTTAAAAGTAGATTTTTTATAGATTCTATTTTTATTTTGATCATATGGTGGTTGAGTTGCCAGATTGATCTCAAAAATGTTACGCGCTGTTTTTGATAAAATGAGCCCTTTTTTATTTTCTTTAATTTTACTATAAAACTAATGAAAGTATTGTATTGTTTAAATAAATATTGTAAAAACACGTTAAATTTTACTTCAGCGTTCTTTTTTAATGGGTACGTGCTCAGAAAAACACGTACGATCTCATTTCGTTTTCAATCCACAAAGCTATATGTGCTCGAATTATATTCCCAATATTTTTTGGGAATTGGGAATGGAGCACACCAAATTTGGGAAAATGTTTCACATTCGAGCAAACTCGAAATGCAGCACATGGGCGTATATCTTATTTCTATGTTATACTAACTTCAAAACATTGTGCACAATTTTGTGTCAATGCTGTGTAAAATCGGACGAAAATAAATATGGGAGCTATAGCTAAATCTTGACCGATGTTCAGGAAACTTAACACACGTCATTTAAGACCTAATTCAGTACACTATGCCAAATTTCGTGCAAATCGAAAGTTATATAGGGACTTTGGTGTACCATTTACATTAAATCGGACGAAAATATATATATGGGAGCTATATCTAAATCTGGACCCATTTTCATGAAACTTAAATCGAAGTATATATATGGGAGCTATATCTAAATCTGGACCCATTTTCATGAAACTCAAATCGAAGTATATATAGGGGCCGTTTACATTAAATCGGACGAAACTATATATGGGAGCTATATGTAAATCTGAACCGATTTATTATATCTAAATTGGAACAGATTCCTACAAAAATTGGCAAACGTTAGGCAATATTATTTTCCGTACGTTGTGCAAAATTTTGTGCCAATCGGACCCACCTGGGGAATTCGGTGCAGAATTTATATCATTTTTCCAGGTTATACTAACTTCAAAACGTTTTGCAAAATTTTGTGTCAATGATATGTAAAATCGGACGAAAATAAATATGGGAGCTATAGCTAAATCTTGACCGATGTTCAGGAAACTTAACACACTTGATTTAAGACCTAATTCAGTACACTATGCCAAATTTCGTGTAAATCGAAAGTTATATAGGGACTTTGGTGTACCATTTACATTAAATCGGACGAATATATATATATATATATATGGGAGCAATATCTAAATATGAACCGATTTCAGGAAACTTAACACACATCATTCTAGACTTTATTCAGTACACTATTCCAAATTTCGTGTAAATTGAAAGTTATATAGGGACTTTTGTGTACCATTTACATTAAATCGGACGAATATATATATATATATATATATATATATGAGCAATACCTAAATCTGAACCGATTTTCAGGAAACTTAACACACATCATTCTAGACTTTATTCAGTACGCTATCCAAAATTTCGTGCAAATCGAAAGATATATAGGACCTTTGGTACACCATTTACCTTAAATCGGACGAAAATATATATGGGAGCTATATCTAAATATGGACCGATTTTCAGGAAACTCAAAACACATCATTCTAGACCTAATTCAGTACGATGTGCCTAATTTCGTGCAAATCGAAGGATATATAGGGACCGTTTACATTAAATCGGACGAAACTATATATGGGAGCTATATCTAAATCTGAACCGATTTTTCCCAATTTCAATAGGATTCGTCCTTGGGCCAAATAAGTGACCTATGCCAAATTTCATGCAATTCGGATTATAAATGCGATCTGTACTTTGTTTACAATTTAACATGGACAGACGGACGGACGGACATGCATAAATCGAGTGATTCTATGCATATCAGGGATGGTCCGTTTGACGAATTTTTAGGTTTTCGACTGTCAAAAAGTTGTAAACGTCGAAAACGTCATATACTTGTATAAAATGTAGTAAACGTCATTTATTTCAATATTATAACCATATACAGTTATTTTCAAGAATATATATTATTTTTACGTACATCTGACTATTCCTTACTAATGCTGATAAAAAATTCTGAACTTTTTTGAGAAGAAAATTTTGACATTTTATATGGATTTGAGTAAAGCGTGCGTAATTTTCGAATTGATTAATGGGAATAGCTATCTTGTCAAAAACCTAATGGTTTTGGGGGGTTTCCGACGTTTCTGACGTACGTATTATACGTCGGAAATGTATGTCATTTACGTCACTGTTTCTGACGGACCATCTCTGATGCATATTCTCAAAAGGAACCATGTGTCTATCTCGTTTCCTTTTGCCTGTTACAAACATATGCACAAAGACATAATACCCTGTACCACAGTGTGG